TTTTTTTTTTCCCTCTAGATGTAAATCTGGATATGTTCAGAACACTCCTGGCAGTTCAACCTCAGATCAGACCTGTGGTGAGTACACTGTAAAAAATGCTTTTAGCCACTTAGTCACTCTTTGCCCAAAGTCAATATGAATCTTAAATAGTCAGTAGAATGGAAATTGTTGTTGATTTGATAGCTCGTAATGTGGACTAAGTCCAAAGACTTTATTTGAACATTGAAACTACAGTAGTGAAACTTGAGAGTTGTGTGGGTAGATTTTAGTTCCTGAATAGCTAAACTGGTGTTCACTTTTGAGAATCAAAAAACCATACTTATTTAAAACACGGCATAGTTTGCATTAAGTACTAAGATGTTTTAAAATGTTTTGATTACCCATACTAGTAGAAATTATGAAGATTGTGATCTGTTTTGTTTCAGTGGCTGGTACACCCAATTACAGAGTTCTCATTGGGGTGGGAGTTTCTCTGTTAATCGTCGCAATTGCAGTATTCGTTTTCATTAAAAAAAGTAAGTGCTGCAACCTACTAATGATCGAATGAATTTATCTACAATACCGCAGTGTATACTGTTTCTCACAATCAATTCCTATGCGCTAAAGTGCTCATATTACAGCTTTTTATCATTAACTGTGTTTTTACTTTCTTCTAGGAAAATCTGGATGTTATAAGGTAAATGTCTGGGTTTGCCATTCAGTCACAAGCAACAAAAGAAAAGCAAAATGCTCATGTTTAGAAATTAATGATAATGGTTCTTTTGTTCTTAGCTCCACAAAAAAACCATAGAGGTCTTAACACATGGAGAAAATGAAGATGTGGAGAGAGCATACCGACCAGTAATTCAACAGCCTCAGGAGAACATTGACCACAGCGTGCCCGTGAGCCCCACGCTAAGCAACTTGACTGACAATGGAAATTACGTAGCACAAGAGGATGGCAAACTCACTATTACCCCAACTACTGAATCAAATTCATTTTCGTAGAGCACAGTCTTCTGCAAAGTACAGACAGCTGTGCTCCCATCATGTTACAATCATCTATATAAATAGAGCATTACACTATAAAGCACTGCTTTACTCTAAATGTCTTCATGTGTCTTACATGTGTCTTAAATAGCCTGACTGAAACATGAAATACTTATAAGTACAAATATATAAATACTACTCACTGCTGCTGAGTGTTCGCAGTTGCATTAGCACTTGCATGTGATTGTTACAATATGCTGAAATACAGAGTTCTGGCATGAAACTCTAGATGGCGCACGGTCCGATAGGTCTAACTCAATCTGACACAGCTGATTGGTTCTCTCCTGTATCGAGCCAATGAGCTCGCTGCTCAACATTCAGATATATGACTAGGGCTTGCCGTAGCAGTGGCAGCTTGCTTCAGAA